GGGCGGGTCGTTAAGGCATCTGTAGATGCCAAGGACCGATCAGTTTCAAGGCTATTGATTTTGGGGTCTAGCACCTTATCATGTTAGCAAAGGAACACGTCGTCTCGTGGATCGTTCCTACGAAAGGTTTGTTGTCGGAAAAACCTTGACTTTATCATGGTCGTGTGGCTTGAGAGGGTTGCTTGACCCATGAGGCAAGACCCGTCTGTGTCTTTATCGCGTTTGTTAAATTACGGTTGTCGGGCCCCGCTTGAGGGTTCGTGGCGGTTCGGGGGGTGTGGGCTTGGGGCACCGATGCTGAGGCAAAGCTCTCCTGTTGCCCATGCGCTTGCGAGCGCGAGCTCGAACTAGGGAGGGCAGTCCATGGCACGAACTGTTTGCGGTCCTCCAGGAACTTGTCTAAAAATTTTGTGTTGACGATCGTGTCCAACTTCCCCGTCTTGTTGGTGTACCTGACGCACTCTGCTGGCAGGCTTTACCAAGACCTCCTCACCACCCTCAAACTCTTGCATCCGACCCGAGGAGCAGACACGAAGGCCCCACCCGATAAGTTGCTCACAGTGCAGGAGGTGCTACGAGGTTTAGGGTGGATGGAATGTTGACAAAACCAAAATCACCGCCCAGATGCACGGCCACTGCCAATTTGGAGACAATGTTCCTGAGCTTCGGTACACTGTCACAACTTGGCACGAGGTCCAAGACCTCGAATCAAGCTTGGGTGGAGCCTTCGTCAGTACATGGTTGATTTGGCAACAGCAGATTGAGAAAGGCTCTTAATGGAGCCCATTGCAATGACCTCAAACTTCCAACAACGCTCACCTGATGGAAGACGGAAGTTTTGAAGCGTGGCACGCTCTCTGTCCGAACCATGAAGCTCATGCACAATGCTCCGCAGAAGTCACAACCCACAAACCGAAACTCGCGGGCCGGCGTCGTATCCGAAGGGAACTTCGGGACCTTCATGCCGAGGCCTTGCGGAGCAGTAAAAGGCGTTCCTGACTGGTTCCAGCCGGGACGGCTGTGTCCAAAGGCAGCCCTTGAAGCTTCAAACGGGGAGTCATCATCGCGACACACTTCGGGTGCTGCTCTTGGCTTCACGACTACCCGTGTGCCAAGTTAAGGATTCCTGACAAGTCAAGCCTGCAACACGGAGGAACTTCAGTTTTCTGCGTTCAGCGGATGGCCACCATCCCGAATCCCAAGTCTAGGTTCGAGTATTCAATGAATTTAAGACTCCACGTGAATTCTACAATGCTTGGGATCCCCCTTAGCCGTCGCATCCCCACCCCCCATATCTTTGGCCAAGCCGAATTGCAGGAGCAAGTCCGGTTCTCAAGGTTCCGCACCTGGGATCCCAGGCAGCATCCCCTCAAGACGAGGTTAAGAGTCGGATTTCCGGCCCAGTGATGCAAGAAGATAACCGGGATTGAAATTGTAGAGCCTTGCAAGCCAGGCGTTTGTGAATCAGGCATCCATGTTGCGCACAACGCTTGGGGTTTGCTGCTCCTCAAAGACCCTTGTAGAGTCCCAAATCCTACTTCAAAAACAGGGATGGGATATTGGGATGGGGATGGCAAACTTTTTCGGAGCAGGGCTCTTCAGGGTTTGGAGCTTGAGGATAAGTCTGAACTGCAAGGTCATGCTTTCTTGGCTGGTATGTTCTGCTCAGCACGACGAGACCCGAAACGCATAAAAATGGAAGCCCCACGACTGCCGAGACCCAGGGGTCTAGCTTCAAGGATTCTATACCGCATTCGCTCTGCTTGTTCGCTCTGGCTGCACATCAGCACTACCTTTTCTGAAAATCAAGGTGCATCGGGCTGGTGCATGAGCGTGCACTTCTGCGACACTTGCGTGTACCTGGCATCTTATGGAAGGTCTTGGGTCAAGGAGACTGCGTCGTGACAGGCATCAACACAATATCCTCTTCATCATCAGAGCTATCCGCCGCCTGCAGCCGCACTACTCTGAAACTTCCTCTGAAGGTGTGCCAGTTCTCGAGTTCCTGCGACAGATGCCAGATTCGCAATCTTGAGCCCTGAAGCCCACAAGTAATTTCTGCAGGGCACCACGACCAATAGCCCATGTAGCTGTAGCGGCTGTTGATCTCAACCAGCTGCGGTCCATCCTGGCACTGGGAATCACACCCGCACTTTGGGGTTTCGGATCCTGCAGCCTTGCACCTGAAGCTTGCACCATAGAGCTGTAGAAAGATAGAAAGTCGTAAAACCAAAAGGCGGGCCCCTGCATTGGCAATCTCCTTTTGAACAATTTCGAAACACTTCACAACACCCCTTTCACACCCCTATCAGAAAGCTCATAAACCGTGTGGCAAGTCCCCTTCCTGTTTTCACAGGAAGTATAAAGGAGATGATTCCTATCTCTGCAGATCCTGATGTTAACAATCCCGCTCTTGTTAACCTTCAGGTCCTTAGTGAAGATGAACTCGAGGTCGATCGCCTCTCGCCGCAGGGCCGTTGTTCTTGAGCCAGGTTAGGCTTAGGGCTCAGGGCTTTTGCCCGCCCTGCTGGCCTGGTTCTTGTAGCCCAGCTCATGGAGCTTCTTGGTGATCGCATGGGTCCACTCCTTTGGCACCTGCCGGCTCCCGCAGGCCGCGGATAGCCACGGGCTCGAACATCGCGCGTTTTAAGCGCACGCAAAAGGGCATGTCGCTCGGACAAAAGAAAAACACAAGCGAGCTTGGGCTTAAAAGGGGCACGAACCCAACACCAGGTCCTGTGCAGCATGCATAGGGTCTAAATGTCTTTTTTTAGCATGCTTTAGCAGATGCCTGTTTGGTTCAGAAAACCTCAGCAAGCCTCAGACAAGGTTCGACCCAACAGCTTAGCACACCATGTAGGTCAGAAGCCCTGCAGCCACAAGAAGCACATGAGAAGGCACTAAATCATTGAACTGTCAAGCGCGTGGTCATGGGTGAATCCCTGCCAGCGAAACAGGCACGCCGATCCCGTCTCCCGGTTGCATGCATGCTGATCCAGGAAGAAGGTGACCGCCCCCATGCCCATCCCTACATCGTGGCCATGTGTCCGCGAAAGCACGCAGGAGAAGATTGGACGCCCAGCGGCGAAACTACGGACACTGCGGGTGCTCGCGCTGGAGAATCCCGAGAATGTGCTCAGACACGGCCCTCAGAGTGGCGAACTCATAAAGAAACCCTGGTGGCAACTTCACATCGAAGTGCTCCTCCAGGACTGACTGCAGAAGTATATTGCTGAAGCTGTCCAGCCCCTCCAGTATGACATCTTCCTCAGCAAATTCCAGGCCATCGGTCTCCATGAAGGCCACATTACACTCGTACATTACATCAGCCAGTGACATTTCCCCGATGATGGCCGTAAGTTCCGCTTGTCGGCCTGTGACCAGAACATCTCCGAGCTTGCTGCTTCCGGCCATAAGTTCTCCGTTGCAGGTGAACTTAACACTTTGCGACCTCCTCTGAGGCTTCCGCTCCTTGACTTTCTGAGCCAGCTTCGACAAGGAGGTGCCTCTTTCTGCTTCCCACTCAAGCAAAATCTCACCTGTCAAGTTCAGCACCACGACCGGCACGACGTCAGTCATGGAGCTGTGTTCCGCGTGGACGCCATTCCAAACATGCCAGCGGCTGCCAGAGGAGCTGAAGCGGGGCCAAGAGCCGAATCGAGGGCTACACGAAGAGAAAGGCTAACACTGCTTGGAGTTGCAAATGTCACATTGGGGAGACGACCGGCACTATAGTGAAGCACACTCTAGAGCCGCGAACACAAGACCCGAAGTCCTGTCTAGGATCCTAAAGGCTCTGAGTCGATACCCCTTGCACCGGCAAACGATGCTTTCCGCTCCCACCTCGAAGGAGCCTGGTGTCACGAACATGGTCAGGATCTCCTGCAACCGTCAAACATGCAGAGTACTCAACGAAGGGTGTGACTTTTCTCACGGTGAAGAGAGCGGATGCTCCAGCTGTGGGCTCCGATCCGGCTAGGGTGCGTGGGCAAACTGGGAACTCACAAGGGTTCGCCACCTTTGACGACAGAGAGAGAGCGAGAGGGAGAGGAAGCTTCTCTGCTGCGTCCTAAAAATACTTGTAGGGCCTTGAGCCTTGAACAGATTGGAGGGGAGAACGGGAGGCCATGGCCATGCTGTACTTGGACTGTGTAGGGGTAGCGAACTCAGGACCTTCGTCAGAGCTAGGTGCCGGGCATCATGCCCCGGAATTCCAAGGTTTCTAGCACGGACATGCGAACGCCGGCCCTTCAATGTACCGTAAGTAAACAACCCGTTTGAGCAAGAGCTATGACAATCAAGCTGTAACCCGAAAGCTTGCCATTGCGACTGCATCAGACTTCTGTCTAGGGGCCGCCCGCCCCCAATAAGCTCCCAAGAACCCGAAAGCCCAAAACATCCCCCCATCCGAAGAGGGTCGTTCAGAGCTTCGTGGCCTCAGACCCGGTGCCGTCGCCTTTGATTCATCTTTCAAATCAACTCCATCATTTCACAGAAAGGACAACTGAAGGATCTGCCGTACTTTAGATCTCACGGCATAGCTCATGTCCTGTCACGCAGTGGCTAACACTCCCCCCCCAAGGCGTAATGCCTCGTGCTTGATCAGGTCTCCGGTGTCGGCGATCAAGGTGTGCTCGCCGTGGCTCTGCAACATGTGGGCGCACGTTGCAGACTCATGGCCCGGGGCCAGGGCTGGGTGCCGAAAGGGATTCATTAAGTACAGAAGTGCTGCAGGCCCGCGGCAAGGACCCTGCAAGCCCTGAAACTCTTTGACAGCCTTGGGGGATGTCGTTTGCTTGGGAAACGGTCCTGACTCTTGTGTAAACGCGAAATCCTAACCCTGAAGCTGTCGCGCCTCATCAAGAACAATTTCGATTTGATGCTCCCTTCCTTCGAAGTACGGCTCGACGTGGTACCTGCGAGTTCAGCACGCGAGCTTCCAGTCTCATTGCGGGAGCTGCCACGTGACACATGCATCGGCCTAGGGTTCGTTTGAGACTCAAAGGGTGTGCCGATGTACTACATCGGCGATCGTCCTCAATCCGAAGCACCTGCACCCCAACTCACACCGGTCATCCTCGTATCACAAACCCCAACGGTCTCGAAACCTTGTTAAGCAGCCACTCGCACGGGGCACATAACCAAGTCCTGCCACTGCGACTCGGGCACCGAGTCCGGATGGAGCTTCTGGAACCAATTGAAATAGAACTGCCTGGAGGGTTGAGTAGGGCCTTCAAGTTAATGAACTGCATTTCGGGACAGGAGTCACAGGTGTCACGAATTGGGTGAGAACCTTACCTTCTCGATGGCTTGACCATTGCCATACGATGTGTTTGGGGGTAGCAAGAATGGAGGCCATGTTGTTTTACAGCTTTTTGAGAACCACCATAACGTTGGCCTTGTTCCAAGGCGGCGTGTCGATACTGATGGTGCTACAGAAAACGATCATGCTATTGCAAATGTGGTTGCCATAGTCATGGCAATAGTACCGACACCAAGCATACAAAGGCTGTCTATGCCGTTGTAACTGATATCCCAATAAGGTGTGTCATCACCACAGCCACCACTTGCAACGGTCGTCACGCCCATTGCCACCACAAAAGCAGCTCGAATACCCCATTTGATGTTGCTCTCTAACAACGCCACCACTAGCCCTCGTACTATGCTGACCATCAAGTCCGGCAAATTCACGAGCCAGGTGCAGCTCAAGCTACATGTGTGCATTGTGTTGGTGTGGCTTTCTCTTGTCGGGAGTCTCAGGGATGTGGGGCCCTGCAGGGTTTAGATAAGCTTTACAGTGTTTAGGGGTCTTCAGACAAGCCTGTGAGCTCCATATCAGAAATCGGACGGACCTTCTCCGATCGAACTCCTCATGGGATCGCTTCTGGAGTTTCGTCCTTGGCCCGGCACTGATGTGCAGCCGAAAGCCTTAGACCAAGTCCCAAGTCCTCTTGAAGCCCATACCATAAAGAAGCTCGTTCAAATCCTCAACCCTATCTCGGCCCTATCCCCGAGCGCATGTGACCCCGATCTCTTCGGCAAGACTGGCCTGAGCCGAAGCGAACCAGAACATGAACAAGTGCGGGTCTGAGATTTTCCGCCTGCAGGCTTGGAATAACTTCTTTGACTAAGAAGTCGACAGCTTGGCCGAAGGCCATAAACCTTGCTTGAACAGCTTGCTGGAGCGCCCTGCTTCACGAAGAAGGGCTACTGCCAATAATTCGCCGCTGCAACAACAACTCGCGGTGGTGGCAGCGGTAGCAGTAGCAGCAGGAGCAGCAACAAATGTCGCCGTCACTGTCGCCGTCGTAGCCATCGTAGTGTCGCAGTTGCGTTGGTGGTACTAGTAGCAGTAGCAGTAGCAGTAGCAGTAGCAGTAGCAGTAGCAGTAGCAGTAGCAGCAGCAGTAGCAGTAGCAGTAGCAGTAGGAGCAGGAGCAGGAGCAGGAGCAGCAGCAGCAG